TTGTAAAATTACACAAATATGATACAAAAATAGTCATATGTGCTACATTAACGGAAGTTAATAGTCATGAATTGTTTTTAAAACTTTAGCATTCTATACATATATACCAAAAATATAACATAAATTATCTAAAAGAAAGAATAAAAGAATTTATATAAACACACACATTTAACTATTTTAATGACGAATGAAACCATACTTGGGTTATAAAATTGTTGGTCTAAATAATATATTTATTGGGATGATGAAATGTAAAAATCTCACATGTATTAATTTTGAACGGTATGGTCCAGTATTTTTCGGTTCTCAAAATCTATAACCCGTCTCGTACTCATTTCAAATGGTACGGTGGTGGTTCAGGATAAAGTTCTATAGAAACCGTATAAATACCCGATGTTCAGTTCGGTACCATTACGGGTCGGTTTGGTTCGATTTTTATGCCACTCTTATGAGATATAGTGTACATTGTGTACTCTTTAGTGCACTTCATACAAGGTGATGTACTCAATTAATTCTTATATCTATTAATTGGTCATATGTGACATCAAATATATAGGTGTGGGCACTATACGAGATATGTGGAGAATGTATGATATTTTGCCACACGTGACAAATATGGTAACTACTTATTACGGGAGTACTATGGTTCAGTTTTAAAATTAATATGGTTCTATGATACCATTCATATCTTGTCCAAACTAGAAAAAAGGCTTAATATCAAATATAGTAAATTTCAACCTTTCTGATCGTAAATATGTACTACGTCCGTCCCTTTTTATTTAGTCAACCAATATACTTATGTGAAACTTAATAAATTTATAATTTTATGATAGTATAAGCAAAGAACATTTTCATATTATTTTCATATTATCAATACTATCATGTATAAATATAGAATCGTTCAAAGTTTAACATGATTGACTTGAAAAACAGTGTTTGGCTAAATAAAAAGGGACTGAAGGAGTATTAAGTAAGGTTTAGCCATAAGATCGTAATGCATAAAATAAACATTGTATGCTGACTTTGCTAGATGTTCTTACTTTGATTGATTTTAATCTCAGAACAGATCATATTAGACTTAAACAAATAAGACATGAGCAGAATTAAATAGATCATATTAGACAAGACAACTATAACTTGTAAGATACACATAGGCAAGACGCCTATAGACCAAACTAGATCAAACAAGACCAGACTAGACTTAAACAGACACATATCCGATTTGTACAGAGTGAGAATCGATAGTATTGGACCGAACCAAATATATATACTCAAGTTTAACATATACTCCTTCTGTCCCATAAAATTCTTCTCACGTTGACTTGACTCACATATTAAGAAGTGAGAGTAAAATGGAAATGTATGATTGTAGTTGTGTAAGAAAAGGGTAAAATGAATGTGAGTCACACAAATTGTCCAAAAATAGTAAGTGAGAAGAATTTTTTTGAGACGACCCAAAAATTTAAAAATTGGAAGAATTTTATGGGATGGAGGGAGTAATTGATATTGAGACGATTATGTATGTATACTTTTTTTTGAAAACATTATATATCTATACTTTAATATATGTGTTCTCTCCCCTCACTTAGTTTAAATAGAATCACATATATCATAAAAAAACATTATTTTTGTACTATCCACATGATATAATTTTAAAAATTAAAGATGAAAATGTATGTGCATCTTTATTATTATTAAATAAAAAATGATGACATAAATAGGTACTCGTGAGACTATACATTTGGATCGAGAATGTTTTTAATTAGACTAAAATTTTCTAATCTCATCTGACATGGTCTGTTTAAGGTTAGTCTGATCTGATCTGTTTAAGACTAGTCTGTTCTGGATAAACCGGTAAAGTTCTATATAGGACATAAATTTGAGGGTCCATTTTAAATTTTTTTTCTTCAATTCGATATCATATCAATGCGGTTTGATATCACGATGGTTCAATATTTTTGCTACAAATGTCCTTTACACACACCATGCCACTATTTAGTGCCTAATCAAAGAAAGTACAAATGTTTTCAAGAGGACTTGGTGTCTGTTGTGGTTCCTTTTGATTGGTTATTGGTCTCCGAGTATTGCCACCGTTATCCAAATCATTTCTAGCTAGTTCCAAATTTGTTTTGGTCTTATTTTGCGCCTTGAATTATTAAATCAAATAATGAAACCAAATTAAAAAATCGATAGGGGATCATTTTAGAGGAAGCTGAATCAATATCTTGTAGGCCAACCTTAGCATTTTTAATGCCATGCACATCCCCATTTACTATCTCAAAGTGTATATTAACTCACAACCCATGCTCCTAGTCGCCTAGATGACAATTCAAGAACCATGAGAATGTAAAACAGTCTAGGATAAAACATAGATGAATAACTCATCCAAAAAGCTGAATAAATGAATCAATTGTCCCTTAAACTGTTAAGTTCTTCACATATCCCACTCTAGAATCACAATATCTACAAAAAATCACATTCCACTCTTTTCTAGTGGAGCATATAAATTGTATGCGAGTAAAAAATAGTCAGGTTTAAAATGGTTGTTGAATTTTACAAGAATGTTGGGTTGTTCATAACAAAAGCACCATTTCACTAATAAAAAATAGTTGTTGAATTTTAGACATTTAATTAAAATGGTCAGGTTTTGAATAAATATTAAAATAATATCTACACTATTCACAAGATCTTGTTAAAATCAAATTGTCTTCTAGGGTAGCAATTTGACACTTTTATTTGTCCAATATGTGAATGATAAAGTACTGAATGAGTTGTTATTATACTGTACATTTTGATTTGTGGTTCATGATAGTATAGTATTTTATTGTTTTTTACAAACTTACTCAATTACACGAGAACATAAAACACAATAGACATTTTACATATTATTTGTACATGCACCTATGCTTATACTTGTAATTATCCTTTTAGTATGTAGTATTAGTTATTATCTCTCTTTAAGTATAGCTAGATATACTTAATGAGGAATATCTACCTCTCTTGCAGTAACGAAAGACAAACTCTAAGGAGCATATATTGTTCCTCTTACCTCTACAACCAATTTTTCCATCAAGTATATTTCCCCAGCTCCAACTTTGCTATATGGCAATGCCAAATTCATTTGGATCATGTCAGTCTTAGAATTGATGGCCATGTACAATCGTTGCGCGAGACCAATTTGTTGATGGCTATGTACAATTAGGGATGGACCCGGTCCCGGTCCAATCCCAAGTACCCGACCGGTCCCAGGCTGGTTTGGGCTTAGTTCGGTATTCACATTTATAAATTACAATTGAGAATATTTAAAACTTTAAATACATGAAATGATGAAATCATGAACTGATCGTCAGAACCGCTTACGGTGTCAGTTGTCGTTTCCTCCATGAAACGATGGTCCGGTGCTATGTTAATTTCTTGTGTTCTACGGCGGGTCTTCAATCAATCGTGGAAGTAAATGAGCGTCTCGAGAGATTGTGCGCTCAACCTCGTTCTACAATCAGTCAGGACGTTGTCGGCTTGGCTTCGCTAAACTCTTGTTCCACGACAACCTATTGAAACCGATATTGATAGCATTTGTTTCGCCATTTTTTATAAAATGGGGAACATACCTTCGTGGCTCTTCCACACTTGGAGAATGTCAAAGTCTTTCTCTTGATCATACTCAACAGGAAATGTTAGATATAAGGAAAACTCGTTAATCGAACTTTGTGCAACGACAAGACTAGATTTACTCCCCCCCCCCAAATTAGATATTATATATTTAAAAAGACATTTTCCTTTAGATAAAGAAGTAGTTGTTTTCAAGGGAGAGGGTACTTTACCATATTGTGTATGAAATTCATTAAATAAATTATGAGAGATAGATTACCAGCGTCGTCGTACATAGGGAAATCACCGTAGGAAGCAGTGTACGTAATAGTACTCCATAAATGTTTGATAAGTAACAAGTTTCAAATGGGGATCAAGATATAAAACAATAGAATATATAGGCAGAATGTAGGTATAATATTTTAAAACCTTTTCCTTCATGAAATCACAAAAACAATGAACATAAGTAGCTTCAAAAAATTCTTTCAAGCACCGACATGACTAATATTCAAATGTGCTTAATATTTAAATGCAACTAATATTAAAATTTGACTAATATAAAAATGATATAAGTAGTACTACGTATGATAATATGAGAAATTAAAATTTAAGTAATATGAAAATGTGACTAATATTAAATTGTGACAATTTTTAAAATGTAAGAAATATTAAAATGTGACTAAGCTTAAAATCCAACTAATATTTCAATGTGACTATTATTAAAATGCAAGTAATATTCCAATTGACTAATATTAAAATGTGAGTGATATTAAAATGAAACTAATATAAAAATGTGACTATTATTAAAATGCAAGTAATACTCAAATGTGACTGATATTAAAATGATAATGTGAGTAATATGAATGTGAGTAATATGATAATGTGGCTAATATTAAATTTTAAAATGTAACAAATATTAAAATATGACTAATCTTAAAATGTAACTACTATCACTACAAGAAAATGGCATGTTACCAACGAAGTTTCCAACAGTTTTTACACTAAAATTCGTTGGAAAAGCTTTATTCCAACAGCTTTCCAACGAAAATTGTCCGTTGGTATACAATGGTTGGAAAAATTTGCGACGAACATTTTCAACGGAATTATTTAGGTTCCAACGTCTTTCCAACGGAAAGATTTCGTTGGAAACGTCCAACAGATTTCCAACCAAATATTTCATTGGAAATTTACTACGGCAACAGTCCTCTCATATTACCCTTGCCAACAGATCTCTAACGGATCAATCCGTCGGAAATCTAAAAAATTTGTGGAAAATCCAGCTCTGAATGCAGTTCGATTAATTTGCTATTGTCTCTCATTTTTTTGAATGCTTTCAGTGGATACCTATATAATTTGCAACACACTACTTAAATTGCAACAAAGAAAATATTTCATATCAACAAAACTTCAAAATTATTATCCAAATTGCAAATGCATACAAACCTGAATTTAATAAACAAACTAGAGTAATTAGTTCATTACAACATCAGCAAAATACTTCAACCAGTTTGTTCACAACAAAATATAAAAACTGAAATACAATTCTTCAATGTCCACCTGCATTGCCCCCTTCATTATCAACTAATATATTGTTGATAAAGTTGTTGTTGTCCTCTTGAGACAAGTTGTGCGTGGCTAGGGGGATGAATTGAAATGCCGTTTGAGAAGGTAAGGGCTGTTGCACAGGCTGGGGTTGTTGCATCGACATGTAATGACCCGGGTAAAATGTTGAATAATGAGGCGCAGTTTGAAGGATGACCCATCAAAGTTCCTGTTGACTCATGAGTCGAATGCCATATCATAGATTCATATGTTTGACATGATGCATATAATCTTTGTAGCCTCGGCGTCAAAGGTAAATAACGTAATACTGAAATAGCAGTTCGCTTACATTTTTTTGAATGACATTCCTCATATGCATCAAATGTGTATCAATTCTCTCCACAAAATCTACACACTTCCAACTTTTTGTCATTTTTCCAAAATAACATACACCCTTTGGGGCAAGCATCAATCTTCACAACAGGAAGTCCCAATTCTGCCACAACCTTTTTTGTCTCGTAATAATTTCTTGGGACAGTGTTGTCACGGGGTAAATATCGACTAAATAAGTTCAACCACCGATTAACTTCATCTTGTGGAGCATTAAAATCCAATTTTATACTCATCACTTCAGAAATGAATTGTAATTGAGACTCTTCACTACATCCTTCATATAAAGGTTGATCGGAAGCTCGTAATACATTCTGGAAGTGATCTGCCAAGTATGATACATCATTCATGTTTGACGATTCATCTTCTTCTACTTGTGTATTAGATGAATCAAAGTTTGTGGAGTTTGTTGGCACTTGTCCACCAAAAATATCTTCTAGCATCCTTTGATCCCACGACATCACATCATGACTTTCAAAATGTGATCCATGAACATTTTCACTGCTATATCCTTGAACATTTTCACTAGTATATTCAACCATGAGAAGTCCAACATTCGTAAGCTTCAACAAATCCATGCCTATAAAGATGAAGCTTTACTGTTTCAGTATCACAAAAGCGTCAGTTTGCACATTTCCGACATGGGCATCGAATTTCTTCTCCACTAATAAACTCATGTTGAGCACAAACAAATTGAACAAAACTCTCAACTCCATTTATAAATTCAAGAGAAACGTTTTTTGTAAATGGATAATACCTGTTGTACATCCAACTTCTATCCACCCCATTCATTCTAAAAACATGTGATGTAAACAAACATTGAAAATGTAATGTTGGTTCACAAAAGATGAAAAAAGATGAATGAAGTTTACCAGGAAGTATGTTATTTTGATATAAAGAGAACTAAATTACGCAGTGAAGAGGAATACATTTTCCAACAGCTTTCCAACATAATTTACGAGTAAGATTTCCAACGGATTTCCAACGATCCCCCAACAGATTTCCTACAAACTTCCGACGGATTTCCAACAAACAATATCTATGCATAAAGTAAACAATTTCCAACGGAATTGCAGCGTATTTCCAACGGCGAAGTCGGAAATTCGTTGGAAATCCATCGCAAACTTTCCAACGAAAAAATCTGCTGGAAAATGGCCGTTGCAAATGGGGTGTTTTCTTGTAGTGATATTCAAATGTCACTAATATTAAAATGTGAGTAATATTAAAATGCAACTAATATTAATGTTTTACAATTATATTATGTTTCGTAATATATATATATAGGGGTGAGATCACATACAAACCATGCTTAACTTACTAACCTACAAACTCAATAATATGCAACACTTTGAACTTTAATATGCGGTACAAATAATGTAAAGATGCACTCTTTGAATTTCAATATGCAATACAAATAATGTAAACATGAAATTGCTATTTTATGGCTTGAATAATATGAAACACTTTGAACTTTAATGTGCAATACAAATAATGCAAAGATGATTTGAATGAGAGGACTAGTTTGTATGTGATCTCACCCCTGCATCTTTACATTATTTTTACTGCATATTGAAGTTCAAAGTTATGCATATTATGGAGTTTGTAGGTTAGTATTTTAAGCATGGTTTGTATTTGATCTCTGATATATATATATATATATATATATATATATATATATATATATATATTTCATATATAGTATGTATAGTATATAATATGCATATTTCGTATCTAGTATATTATCTACGTATTTTTTCATGTATAATCATGTATATAATTATATAAATATATGTGGTAATAATTTATAATTGTGACAAATAAATGTAGTAGTTAGTTAACTATAAGTATAAACTATAAAGTATATACTATACTTAATAAATTAATTATAAGTATAATTAATGTAAGTAATTAGATAATATACTTAATATATATAACATATAACATAATGTTGATAGTACATAATATATAACTATATTGCTATAAAATGAGTAGTATAATCATACGTAGTATTTAATTTTCTAATGTGTATACTTAATATTATATATTTAAATATAAGTAGGTATAATATTATATAAATATAAGTGGATATAAGTATATATAATTATAATGTAGAGAGAATTAGAGAATAAGATCGAGTAGAGTAGAGCAAATTAGAGAATAGGAGTAGGAGAGAATAGATGTAGGAAATTTCTGAAAATAGAAGGTATTTATAGGTGCAATTCAGACGAAGGTTGCTAGTGGAATGGATTCTATTACTTAGATTGCCAGTGACATGCGAAGAATGAGGATATTGATGGACAAGATGGAGAAAGATAGGGAGAAATATGAAATTGGGAAAAGGGAATCAGAGAACAATAGCAACATATGGAATGCTATAAAAGAGACTCCGAATTCAGATGAGCGCACATGCTACAAAGCCCCTACGCTCATATATAAGTTTGTATTTGTGTAGTTATTAATTAAATGTGTAGTATGGGCCACAAATGTATATCAGCTTGTTAGCTTCTTTGTAACCCATAAGTTAGTCATCCTCTCCTATAAAAGGATGCTAACTTACGGGAAACCTAAGGTTTGAGGCTTTAGAGAATAGAGGCGCAGAGATAGAGAGATTAGGTTTTCCGCTGCTCTCTCTCTAGAGGGAGAGTAACGACACTCTACATGGTATACTAGATTCGTTTGTTCATCTCGATATCTTTCTATCCGCCGCTTCTTTATCTGCTATGATTGTTTGATTGTTTAGAAACTGGGTATATCAATTGGTATCAGAGCCGAGACGTGAAACATGTTGAATCTATCTACGATTTTTTGGATCTGTTGAAGTTTAGTCCCGCAGATCCGAAAGCCCAACACGAACTTTGGATATATTAGGAAAATGGCTGAAGAATCACATGTATAAAGAAATATAAAAGATGATAATCGAATACTCAAAAGCCCTTTTGTATTAAGTAATTGGGAGATTACACAATAAGCTTCTCGAACGGTATGTCGGAATAGTGACTAATACAAGAAATCAGAGAGATAAATCTATTCTAGGCTTTGAATATCAAGAAGCTAACCCTTTACAACGGAATTAATCCTTCTATTTATACTAATGGGGAGGTATGGGGTGCTTCATGTTGATTGGTTGCTTTATCTAGCCACTTGAAAACCCATACTTCCACTTTCTGCCGTCATAAATGCTCCCTGCCACTTGTTGGCTCCCTCCAAACTGTTAACACGTTCGTCATTCGGTCATCCGGAATGATTCTACGTGTTAAAAGCTGAGATGAGACTCTTTGGTTCTGACATCCTCTCCAAGCCGTTTTGATCGAGTCAAATTCTGTTAGCTGAGAGGATGGCTCCCTCCAAACTGTTAACACGTTCGACATTCGGTCATCCGGAATGATTTTACGTGTTAAAAACTGAGGTGAGACTCTCTATCTTCCAAACCCAAAATTCCGATGTATTCCGTCCGGTTTTTTCCGATCCGAATCATCCTTATTAGGGGTTTGAGATGACCATCTTCAAACTATAAACAAGATCCCCGGATCGGATCATATCTTACTTATAGCTAAAATGGCGACTCACTTCCAAATCAAGTTAATGACTGAGGCAATATTTTAAAACCATAGTTCGTGAGCTCAGGGTCAAATTCTGTTAGCTGAGATGATGGCTCCCTCCAAACTGTTAACCCGTTCATCATTCGGTCATCCGGAATGATTCTTCGTGTTAAAAGCAGAGTCAAGACGTTTTTTTAGAGGTGGCAACAACCGTTTTATTGATAAAATTTCCTCAGATGCTCTACATTCCATATCCCTGCTGGTCGGCCTTTGGTACTTTGTAGGCCGAACGTTCGTGAGGCATATTTTCTGCAGACCTGGTAAGGGCCTTCCCAGTTTTGTGCCATCTTTCCACCTTCGAGAGGTTTGCTCTTCTCCCGCTTCTTTAGGACCAAGTCTCCTACCTCGATCGATCGAATTTTTACTTGTTTATCGAAGTATCTCCTTGTTTCTCTATGATATTCCTCCATTCGTATTGCCGCTAGATCCCTTCTTTCCTCTATGAAATGCATCTCGGCCCGTAGATTATCCTCATTGCGTTCGAGATCATAATGCACTGTTCGGTGTGTGGGAACTAGAATTTTTGCTGGAACTTTAGCCTGGAATCCATAGGCAAGGGCGAATGGTGTCTCTCCTGTGGCCGTTCGGGGTGTTGTCCTGTACGTCCATAGGATATAATTCAATTGGTCTGTCCATGATGAGGAACAGTGCTCTAGTTTTTTCTTCATACCATCCATAATGGTACAGTTCATATTTTCTACTTGGCCATTTTTTCCTGAGGGTATGCTACAGATGCTCTGGAATGTTTGATCCCCCATTTGACCAAATAATTTTCGAAGTTCCTGCTTACGAATTGCCTGCCGTAATCGGCAAATGATGTTCTGCCAGACGAACTTTTGGCATTTGAAATGTGTAATGCTTGCCAGTGGTTTGACCTCCACCCATTTGGTGAAATAATCTATCCCGATGATGATGTACTTAAGGCTTCCGGGAGCAGTAGGTAGGGGCCCTAGCAAGTCGATCCCCCACCTAGCAAATGGAAGAGCAACCGTCATCGGGGTGTAGAAAGTAGCTGGCCGTCCGGGAACCGGTGCATACAACTGGCAAACCTTGCACTTTCTGGTATGAGCGAAGCAGTCCTGCTGGATTGTTGGCCAATAGTATACTTGCAAGATGATCTTTCTTGCAAACGTTTTAGACCCCTGATGGCTAGAGCAGATACCCTCGTGAATTTCTTCCATTACCGCCACTGCTAGACCAGGTGGTAGGCACTTTAGATATGGTCCACCGAATGTCTTTTGTATAGCTGTCCATCCACCAGTTCAAACATGGAAGCCCTCCTCTGAATGCATTTCATATTGTATGCTGATTTTTTGTCTCCTGGGAGGGTTCCGTCCTTTAAATAGTTGGTCATATCCGCGACCCAACTGGGAACGACATAAGAGATAGCTTCTACTTGGAGGATCATAGTTGCTGGTATTGTTAGGGTTTCCCGATGAGCAAAACGCTGGATGTGAGCTGGGATCATCTATACCCGATCGTCAAAGGCCGCATTCTCCAATTTGGATAGGATATATGCCTCATGATTTTCTATTCTTGAAACTTGGTCGAGTATCACTTGTTCAAAATTTCTGATTTGTTCCTCAACCAATTCCTTGTATGCTTTCATCCTTTCCTCTTTTGCCTCGGCCGTGCCATTCACTTGTTGGACCACTAGTTGGCTATCTGACCGGACTTTGAGTTGATCAGCGCCCAAGGCCTTTGCATATTTTAACCCTGCAATGAGAGCTTCATATTCGACCTCATTGTTGGTTACCTTAAAGTCAAAATGGATGGAGTAATATGCTTTCAACCCTTCGGGTGACGTGATCACGGCTCCACCCCCACAACCTTTTGCACTTGATGCCCCATCTACGTACATCTCCCACCAGTCACTTATCATGCTGCCCTTTGACTCAGTTTCCGAAGGCCGAGCGGTACATTCTGCTATAAAATCTGCTAAAGCCTGGCCTTTGATAGTGGGCCGAGGCCTAAAGTCCACCTCATACTGCCCGATCAGGAGGCTCCACTTTGTAATGCGCCCGCTAGCCATTGGATTTCTCATGATGGTAGCCAACGGCTGAGTTGTATACACGGTTATTGGATGTGCCTGAAAATATGGTGCCAGCCGTTTGATGGTTGCTATTAGGGCCAATACCATTTTTTCCATCAGGGTGTACCTAGTCTCCTGCCCGTTCGGGGCTT